TGTTCGGTCCATATTTTTCTGATTTGAGAATTTCTTGTCACAGTGGTTTGCCGACGTTGTTGATTTCAGAGGATGAAATTAAACCCTTGTTGCTCCTTTTGAATTCGGTTTGGTCAGCAAGTTTCCCAGTCGGAGACCCTCCATTGATGGCATTCATAAATTCTTTTTCAACTTAAAGCTCAATAGTGATTGCTCGATCACTATTCTTAACCTTAGGAATGTTCTGATCAAGCTTGTCAATAATTTTGATTATTGTATGATCTTCTCTCATCGTTCATAGTTTGTGAGTAATTGCTATATGAAAGTAGTAAAATGGACCCCAAAATTGGATGTTGATGTTGATTCTCCAATCGTGCCCATCTATATTTCATTTCCTTACCATAGGCCTCATCTTTTCTCTCCTCGGATACTCTTTGGGTTGGGTTCTTTGTTCGAATAGACTTTAAAAATTGATACTGCGACTGCCTTTGGTCCTTGTTGAATTGGATGTCACCAAAAAATTTTCGAATAAGATTTGGGTAGGTTCGCCTAATTCGGATTATATTCAGTCGGTGATCTTGGATGATCTTCCTCAATATTGTGTGCACTATAGTTCTTTAGGTCATTTGAAAGAGGAATGCCAAATTTTACATCCCCATCTTAATATTGTTACTAAGTCCCTTCCTGTTCCCTCTTATGTCCCATGCGAGTTAATTGCCTGGGGTGAATGTAGTTAATGCTTCTCCTGTTTTGCATGTGGAGGGGGAGGCTGTTGGAGTTAATTCCCTTGCTGTTGCTGAACTTGAAAAAAACCAATCTACTGTTGTGCTGCCATTGACTCCGTATGGCATTGCTAATATTAATATTGTGGTGGTTTCTTCGTTGGATATTACTGAGGAGGAGGCTGGGAGGGATGGTTGTCTTTCGATGGAAGCTATGAATGTTGGCTATGAGGTTAGTATAGTGGCTCTGGTCTCTGAGGGCCCGGCTGCTTTGATTTCTGGGTCTATGATTGGTGGTAATGTTTCGAATTTCATAACCTGTGCGGTGTCTCTTGAGAAGGGAAACTGTAACAATTTGTGGAATGTGAGTATTGATTCTAATTTGGGTGCCTGCTTGGTGAATAATGCTTCTTCCCCATCTCCCCCCACCCCGGTTACTTCTCCTATCGTTGCTGATGTTGATGATGAGGAAGAATTTTGTTTGTATTCTATGGTTGGGGATACTGGTAATCCTTTAGTTAACTTGGCCATGTCGAAAACTTTTGTTGATATTCCTATTTCGGTCGTATCTAACGAGGAGTTGAATGCCCTTCTAGCATTGTCTTTGAGTAAGTCTTATGTGGATCATTCTGGTTGGTTGAATGTGTCTGATGGTGAGGTTGATGAGATTGAAAATGAATTTCAAGATACGCAAGATATGTATAACTTTATGACTAGACGATCTGTTTCATCTTGTACTGGAAAAAGATATAAAAGCAAATCTGTGCATATGTATAACTTTATGGCTAAAAGATATGTTTCATCTGGTACTGGAAAGAGATCTAAAAGTAATTCTAAGAAAAAAAAATATGATTTTTTTTTTTTTTGCATGGCTTTCCTGATGATGTTGGGACTATGATGAAGCAATTATGATTATCTCTGGGTTGGTTTGGAGTTGGCAACCTTGGTGTGGTTAGTGTGGTTTCGTCTATGCTCAAATTTTCAGTTGGTTGGTGTGGCTTTCTACTACCAATGGATGGTCATTTACTTGGTACTCGGTGGATGCAGGATTGTCATACTGAGTCCTTTTGGCTGGTTGCACTTGACCTTTGGGTTTCTTTTGCTTATGCTTTGGCTGGCTCGGAGATTATGATTTCTTTTCATGTTGTGGTAGCTTTATTTTGTTGGCTTAATTTCGTTTGCTTTCTTGTAATAGGTTGAATGTCGTATTCAAAATTTATTCTTTTTTAGAGTTGCCTGTTGTTTAAGGCTTGTAATTACATTTAGTAATCGAATGCCCCTATGTGGGTTTAAAAAAAAGTTAAATTAATTCAAATAATAGTTTAAACCAACCAATTTCATTCGCTATATACTTCATTATTCAAAAGATTCTCTCTCAGTGGAGATATTTTCATCTGAAATAAATTTTCAAGTATATTTTCTCAAAAAAAAAAAAAGATATATTTGTTTAATTGCATCTATGAGGAAACTTATAAAGATAAATTTATCTTTCAATATCAAATATATTTTAATTCCTTATTTTCTCAAATATCTAATTATAATTTCCTTGCATTTAATTATTGTTGTATATTACTATTAGGTACTAATTAAATAAATTTTTAAATAACCAAATGACCTTACTTATTTAAGAAATTCAACAGACGTAAAGGAAAAGCAGGATTTACATCTTCGGCATTCATATGCTAACAGAAATTAATCAGAATGCAGGAAAATAATTCAAAGAATAAAAAAGAGGGCCTTTTTAAAATAAATAATAGGCAACGTTTAAAAAATCAGTCTAAAAAAGAAATAAATTGAGATTTCAGGAAATTAAACAATTTATAGATAAAAAAATCCACTTAGGCTTCAATGGTGACGGCTTTCTTACTGTTTTATAAAGTTTTTGTAGATAAAGTAATATTTAGGCTTTGTTTGGGATGACTTTCTTATTGTTCTTAAAACAACTTTTTAGTATAAAAATTTTATTTGTTGTACTAGAAAGCTGCTTTAAGAAGTAGTAAAAAAGTCGTCCCAAACGAATCCTTAAAACTGTTGTATAAAGCAGTTTCCTAGCTAATATATAATATTTTGAAAGCAACAAAAAAGTATCAACCAAATAAAAATTGTGATTGCAGTTTGAAAAACAAATTAGTAACAAAACGGTCACAAACAAAGCCTTAATCTAATTACAATTGAAATTGAAACATATTTGTGGTGGATTGACTTAAGCTGACTAAGGCTTCGTTTGGGAGGGCTTTCTTACTGCTTCTTAAAGTAATTTTTTAATACAAAATTTTAATTTTTATACTAAAAAATTGTTTTAAGAAACAATAAAAAAGCCATCCCAAACAAAGCCTAAGGCTTCATTTGGGATAACTTTATACCACTATTTTTTTTCCTACTTTCAAAATATTTTTTTACAAAAATAATAATTTTATAAAGCAATAAGAAAGCTGCCCCAAACAATAAAGTAATATTTAGGCTTTATTTGGGACGACTTCCTACTTTGTGAAGAGCTATTAAAGATAAAGTAATTTAAGTTGTGGTAGAAAGTAATTTTTCAGTACAATTTTTTTTTAAAAGTAACAAAAAATAGTAACCAAATAAAAATTATAATTGCAACTTGTTGTTTCGGATCTTTTTTTGTTTCTAATTTTTTAGTTATTTTCATCCTTAGCGTAAAATGAAGATCACCCCAATCACCACCAATGGCTTATGGCAACCGGTCCATGCCTTGCCACCATAGAGACCTCATGCAATATTTAATAAAATAATGCAACACTTATTTTTTATAAAATAAAAATTGCATCAGAATATCCTAAAATATTTTATGTCTGGATGTGTTTAATAATCCATAAATTTCTATTAAATGCTATACATGATACCCAAAAGTTGCACTAATCTCAACATAAATTTACGAGTTATTAAGCCCGTAATAACTCAAATTGCAACAAGATATTAAACATATGATTACTTCATATTAAAACATAATTAAAATTAAAAAAAAAAAGGAAATGATCCAGAGCAACAACTAAAAATAATGAACTACTCCTATATAAACAAAGAAAACTATTATATAATTTTATTTCAGAATTATTTTTTAAGTCATTTAATTAAAAGTATTTTGATTTGATTTTAAATTTAGTTTACAAACCTTTGCTCATTTTAATAATTAAGGACACATAGCAAGGCTTTTTTTTTGGGAAGTTTGCGCCTAACAAGTTAAGAAGAGAGCAACAAAGCTTTATAATGGAAGCACATTGAAGCTTTGGACAGAGCATCTCATCATTTACTTTAAAAAAAAATAAGGCAAAGGACAATTGGCTACACAGATTCACCTTCCCTGTGGCTGCCTCAACCTCATGATACACTTCCTAAAAGAACTGAGACTAAGAAAATAGCTTAGGAAATGGTACTCATACAATAGCTTCAAAGCCAAAAGAAATAAAGCAATGGAATAACAAAAACAAAGTTTCAAAGTAGAGTTTTCTAACAAAAAGAGAAAAAAGAGAAAAGAGTAAAGCTCACTTTTCTTTTTACGATGTTAAAGTTTTGTTTGGAATGTCTTTCTTATCGTTCTTTCAGGCAGTTTTTATTTTTTTATTAAAATACTGCTTTAAGAAGCAGTAAGAAAACTGTCATAAACGAAGCCTAAGTAAGAGCACAAGCTCAATTATAATAAAGAATAAAAGAGATAAGAATCAAAATTGTTCTCTAACTTTTAATGAAGGGTTAAAATGGCCTCTTATTATTTATAAATTTCATTTTAATTTTTTGACTTTTTAAATAGAGACATAAATGATCTCATAAAATGATTAATATAGTCAATATTTAAAGAATCAAGGAATCAAATTGATTCTTTTATGTGATCAAAAATTATTTTGATCATTTAGAAAAAATTATGGGATCAGTTCTATTTTTTTCTCATGTACTATAGTTATGATAATTCATAATTTTATAAGTTAATATTTTCTACTAATAGCAATTTGCTAAAACAACAATGTTTTTTTCTTGTAAATAAGCATCACACAAGAGTAATCATTATTTGCTGATAAAACCTAATTAATTAATAAGCTCACTGCAACTAATACATGATTAGTTGAGATTAAGTTACTGGAACCTGTATCTCACTCTTGTATTTTTTAAAGCCAATTAATGAGGTAGAGTCAAACAAATGAGGACCACCAAAGCTCTTGATCTGGAACTTCTCACATTACCTAAAATCAAGACAGATAACTTTATTTAAAAGACAACAATGGAATCTACAGAGAGCCTGACTAATATTTTATTTCTGGAGTACTGTTGCTTCCATAGTAATAATTATGTTTATCGGTAACTTTGTTGGTATATAAAGAATGGGGATTTGGGCTTCAGGATCACGGCGACAGGGGAAGAAGAATGGGGAGGCAAACATCTAAGGAGGCCACAATGGCCTCCCTTGTTTCAACTCTCTTAATTCTGATTTCTCTTGCTTTGCCTCTTGAGGCTCAAACTCACTACTATTATTCTTCTCCACCACCACCTTTATATCATTACAAATCTCCGCCGCTACCGCCGCCTGTTTACAAGTATAAATCTCCTCCACCACCTGTTCATCTCTCTTCGCCACCTCCTGTTTACCATTATAAATTTCCTCCACCACCAATTCATCACTCTACACCACCACCTGTTCATCACTCCTCACCACCTCCTGTTTACCATTATAAATCTCCTCCACCACCTGTTCATCTCTCTACACCACCGCCAATTCATCAATCTTCGCCACCGCCTGTTTATCATTACAATTCTCCACCACCGCCTATTCATCACTCTTCGCCACCGCCAGTTTATCATTATAAATCTCCACCACCGCCTGTTCACCAGTCTTCACCGCCACCTACTTATCATTACAAATCTCCACCACCGCCTGTTCATCACTCTTCACCATCACCTATTTATCATTACAAATCTCCACCACCTCCAGTTTATTCCTCTCCACCACCACCGGTTTATAAATACAAATCTCCTCCTCCCCCTGTTCATTACTCTCCACCATCGCCAGTTTATCATTACAAATCACCACCACCGCCTGTTGATCACTCTCCACCACCACCTATTTATCATTATAAATCACCACCACCACCTGTGTACCATTATAAGTCTCCTCCTCCACCTATTTACCATCACAAACCTCCTCCACAACCAATTTATCATTACAAATCTCCACCACCACCTTTTCACCATGCCCTACCCCCGCACATTTACCATTATAAATCTCCACCACCACCTATTCACCATACTCTACCGCCCCACATTTACCATTACAAATCTCCACCGCCGCCCATTTATCATTACAAATCTCCTCCACCTCCTGTCCACCACACTTCACCGCCACATATTTACCACTACAAATCTCCACCACCACCTGTGCATCACACTCTACCACCACATATTTACCATTATAAGTCTCCACCACCACCTATTCACCACTCTTCGCCGCCTCACATTTATTATTACAAATCTCCACCACCACCTGTGTATCATCACAAATCTCCACCGCTGCCTGTCTACAATTCACCTCCACCATCTGTTTATCTCTACAAGTCTCCACCACCTCCTTATCACCAGTGAGAAGAGCTTTCATGAGGAATAAGGTAAGGAGATAATCTTCTAAAACTCTAAATTTTATGTTCTATTTTGACTTCCCCTTTCTTGATTTAATTTGAAGCATTGTTGTTTTTTTTCCATAAAAATTCTTCTGCAGAGAGTAAAAGCTTGAAGATTTAAGCCTGTTATGGCTGATCGATGTCTCTATCTCTCTCCAAAGGAAGAAACACCAGTCCCTTTCCTGATTGTAGCAAATAAAATGTGTGAAACCTCCTTCGCTTGTTAGTCTGATGAGTACTGTTCTTTTGTTTAATGAAATATTTAAGTTATTAATATGTATTTGTTCAAGCTATGAAATTAATGGGGGTTTTCAGTGAAAAAGAACCTTGTTGATCTCCTATTCACTTGTACTGTTATCTTTGATGAGAACCTAGCACTTACAGTTATCTAGAATACATTACATACAGGAAAACATTAAAGATATAGTGCAAGGCTGGCAAGCTCTTCTATTTCTATACTCCTTAATTAATCAATGAACAGTATCTGACATACATTAGTAAACTCACTATAATTTCTTATATGATTAGTCAAATTTAGTTTACTTGGACGTGTATCTCACTCCTATGTTTTTCAACGCAATCAATGAAGAAGACTAAGTAAAGAAGGACCACCAAAGTTTGATCACTAACTTGGCATATTACCTAAAATCAACTGATAACTTTATTTAAGACCCTACAAAGGAATCTACGGAGAGGCTCATGACAAATATTATATTTATAGGCTGCTCTTGCTTGGATGGTAATGGTTGCTAAAACTATTATTATATCATACTAATATTATCATCATGTAAGGTTAATATTTATTTAAAATTTATAGTATTTATTAGTGTAATATATTTTTAGGGTGAATAATATGTTTTTATTGTACTTTCTTTACAATTAACTTAGGCTTCGTTTGAGACGTGTTTCTTACTATTTTATGAAGTTATTTTTTAATACAAAAATTTCTTGAAAGTAGAGAAAAATAATGATTAAAGCTGTCCCAAACGAAACTTTAATTAAATAAGCTGCTTGTACTTAACAAAAATAAGAATCAAGCAAAAATGTAAAATTTTTATTATTCTACAATGGTATGAGCATAAATATACTTATTTAAAGGCAAGAGATTAGAGCAATAAAGAAGAATATCCTCCATAATATGTTACAATTGTAAATACTACAGATTTGTAATAAACATTATGTATATGTGATAATATTGATAGGATAACATAAGAATTTTAATGATTCTAATAAAATAAATAAATAAATGTATATAATCAAATAAATATTGCATCATAGATTGATAACATTGTTGCTATAAAAGAATAGGAATGTAGGCCAAGACAAGAAGGTAAGAACAATGGGGAATAAAAAAATTTACAGGGTCGCAATGTCCTCTCTTTTTTTAACTCAGTTCTTATTTCACTTGTTATTCCTCTTAAGGTTCAATATCTTATTCTTCTCTACCAAAACTTGTGAATCATTACATATATCCACCACCCCCGGCCCTACGCCTACTTATAAGTGTCGAAAATTGCTCGAAAATTTCGTCGGAAATAAATCTTTCTGAAATCCAACTAAAAATTCTGTCGCAAAATCCATCGGAATTTGTCACAAATTTCCTTCAGCCTGAAAGCAGCTGTTTTCCAATTGTGTTACAAGTAGAAATCTTTACCATTGCTAGTTTATTACTCTCCACTACATTCTATGTACCATTATAAATCTTCTCTAAATCCTATTTATCACTACAAATCTCCTACACTGCATGTTCATCATTTTCCACCCAATCTATTTATAAATATAAATGTCTATTGTTGCTTGTTTACAACTACAAATATCTTATACTGCATGTTCATCATTCTCCTCCAACACCTTTTTACCATTACAAATCTCCATTATCGTCCATATATCATTATAAATATTCTCCCTATTTATCATTACAATTCTTCATTACCATCTATTCAATATACTCCACCACCACACATTTACTATTATAAATCTCCACCACCACCTATTCAACACACTCCATTGACACACATTCACCATTACAAATCTCTACCGCCAACTCTATACCAAATTAAAGTTGTAGCATCTTACTTTAGTAATTCTTTTGCACAGCATAAGACCATGAAAGTTAAAATCTTAGATCCAATCCATATTTCCCTCTTTCTCTCTCTACAATTAAAGAATCGTTATTCATTAACTGATTATAACAAGTAAAATGTGTGAAACCTCTTCTGCTTATTTTGTTTGATGAGATTGTGTTTTTGTTTAATGAAATAGTTAAGTTACCAATATGTTATTAACTTACATAATTTGTTACTAGAAATATGTCCTTTGTAATAGCGATTTTTTCAGCAGAGATAACTGCATGATAATCAGAAATATCACTAAGCACAGAAACAATAGTTTCACGAGCATTTTGTCTTTCAAATGGAATCTAACATATGATTTTCACTCTTAACTTTGGTAAATCTCAATATCTTTGACAGAAACAAAGAATTTCAATGAAATTTGAGACATAAATCAAGAATTTCAGGTGAAGTTCATAAAATTTAATATTCTACCATGGAATGTACGTTTATAACTTGAGCCCCAATTAACTTTTCCTCTTTATTTTAATAATAAATTACAATGGCCATTTTTTTTTTAAATGTTCTCTTAAAACCAACAAAGAACAATAAATTAATAAAACTGAGATCAAAATGAAAATCAAGTTCAAAAACTTGATCTAAACTTTAGATTTATTTGACCAATACTAAATAGATAAAGCGAGTTAGATTTGAAGAACTATGCGTACGGGCATAAATGAGTTGAGTTAAGTTGAAGCAAGCCATCCTAACTGGAGCTTGATGTTCCTTATTAATTGATTTTGAGCATTAATTCAAACTTAATTCTTTAAGTTATAGCTTCTGACGGGCTTAGAAAAATTTTTTTGAAAAATTCACATCAAATTTCAAAAAATAAATAAACTAAATGCATGCTTAGACAAAATCTTCTACTTAAAACATCTAAATTCATGATTTAAGCATTTTAATAGATTAAAATTAGCCTAAAAATGAAAAACATGTTTCCAATCTCGTTGAATTTAATTGGATTTTCGTGGTTTCCTTTAGATTGAAATTATTTCAAAATCATTTAATAATTTTTATTTTGACTAATTTTAATAATTTAAGTTGAAAGACTTGGATGAAATTTTGAGCAAAAGTACTTAGTTTTTCTTAATAAAAATATAAAGATAATATAGGACCCTTTATAAAAAAATGTTTTTGAGATCAATTGCTTGTTTAAATTTAGCAATTCAAGGTTAGTGTATTTCCATTATGACATGCCTTTCTAATCTCAATCAATCTATATATCACTTGCATCTAATGTAATAGAAAGTTGGACATGTCATCAAATAATTGAATTAAATTATAAATTCTTTCCCTTAAGTTAATAATATTGAAAAATTAAATATTCACAATAAATTCTCTCTAAATATAGCATTCTAAGCTCCTAAAAACTTGAATAGCTCAACACCACACAATCTCTTACGACAAATATTTCACTGCAAATAGTTTTAAGAGAACCATAGATACAAATGCTACACACAAAAGTATGTCTAATGTACTTTTAAGTATACTTATCATAAACTTTGTATATCTCTAAACTAAAGTTCTCCTAACCCTAATTATATACTAATACAACACAACACCATTATAAACTATGTAATTCAAACATGATATATTTAATCATTCACAAAAACTTTATCATATTCTCTCTTGACTTTATTTCTGGATCTTCCACGTAGCATAGAAGTTAGATTTTTGTTTCTCCAAACTAAGATACTTCAACATAGATAAAAACATACTAAAGCAAGTCTTAAAAATACATGTAATAATACATGCTTAAAATGTCATAACTCTTTCGCTCTCATAACAAGCAATACAAGCACCTTTTACAAAACTTGAGAAGCTTAGCATCACCATAACACTTGTATCTTTCATAACCTAGAGAACTTAACAATACAAAGATCGTTCTTAAATTAAGTACATATCATGTGATAACACATAAAAATTTTAAAAACTTATATATTACTCTGATGGGTCTGAAAAATTATAAATTTTATTGGAGAATTCTTTTGATGGTGTCAAAGAGAAAGAAAGCACCTCCTTGATGATATGTGCATCTATTTGGATCTCTATTGGGTCCTCTTGAGTTAATTATTTATGTCCTAACATGTATATACTATATGTGCATTATCTTTTCACTAGAACTAAAACATCCTCCCAAATAAACCTATATAGTTAGCATAATTTTTCACAAATATCCCACTCCGTGAAGGGCCACTGTAAATCTCATTTAACAAAACTTCAAGTTTTTTGACAACGCCTACTCAATCATCTAACCAAGATGTGAAGATCTCATGTCACACCATCATAACAACCTTGCCATCCTACCACTGTTTGTTGTATGGTGTCATGCCCAATAATCTAATGGAAGATTTAAATCCCCAATTCTACTTTTCTCTGCCACAATGCAGAATAAATCAAAGCTAGCTAAATAATCCAAAGTAATATTAATAGTCTAAAATATCATCCAAATTTCAGTATCAAAAATTATATATAGTAATCTAGTTCATACAAAATCTATACATCAAAATAAATAATTGGATTACAAAATACCTAAAAAATTATGGTCCTGACGATCCTTCCCTTATCAACTCTATTACGCTTGATCCTTTTCTTTTTTTAAAATATTAGAGAAGTTCCACAATGCGAGCACAACACGCTCAGTAGACTTTCACATTCTTGTCACATATATTGATATCCATTTTACTAGAAATATTAAACATATTCGAATAATAACTAAAATATAAAACTTGATGTAAATGCATAGAAATTATGAACATGTCTTGGTGTTGTCAAATTAGAACTTATCACTTGTACATACATATTTACTTGCACTCATCTTATTCATAGAAGTCTCAAAAATATCAGTGTCTTCATAATATCTCTTATATTTAATTTCATTAAATTATCATAATATGCACCCATTTATCATTACAAATCTCCTCCACCTCCTGTCCACCACACTTCACCGCCACATATTTACCACTACAAATCTCCACCACCACCTGTGCATCACACTCTACCACCACATATTTACCATTATAAGTCTCCACCACCACCTATTCACCACTCTTCGCCGCCTCACATTTATTATTACAAATCTCCACCACCACCTGTGTATCATCACAAATCTCCACCGCTGCCTGTCTACAATTCACCTCCACCATCTGTTTATCTCTACAAGTCTCCACCACCTCCTTACCACCAGTGAGAAGAGCTTTCATGAGGAATAAGGTAAGGAGATAA